CTTATGAAAGCAGCAACCTAAGTCTTTCTACTTGAGCCAAATGCAGATTTTCACAGCTCATAGCAACTCAACATTGTCAAGATTACTACCTTGTGAAATTAGATTCACAGGTTATTCAGGGACAAAAAAACTGACAGAACATAAAACACCCCCTTCGGGGGAAAAAAAAATCAAGACAACAAATAGCAACAAACACCTTCTCACATTGATAGAATAAAATGCATCATATGGATATATGGTATATAAAAAAGCACTTTTTTTTGTACAAAACTTTCCTGACAGACAAGATCTTAAAAAACATTTTTTACCTGGGACATAAGTAAAACAGGAACAGTCTGTCATATATCTCTAAATAACACTTTGCATCTAAATATATTTTTATGGAAAGCTATATTTTGAAAAGTTCTAACAAATACCTTGCAAATTATGGCTATAGGTAAAATTAATTTCAAAGTGGTGTGTGGGAGGTATCCATACAGAGAATGATCCCATATTTATTAGCCTCTTCCATAGCATTATGTGCTCTAATACACTATTAATTTTCTGGATATGTGTACAACTAGCATTATTAAGAAGTTCAAAGTATTGAATAAATAAGGGAGATAATTTTTTAAATTTACTTAAATTAACCGCACAACTTGACTGAATGCAAAAAATATAAATTGATGACTATACAAAACCTGTTAAAAGCATGAAATCACTTTCGCAAAAAATTTTTGAAAGGGTGGTGTTCTTTAAAAGATTCAACTTTCCAAGTAGCTGCTTCTATTAAATAAACCTATGAGACTAATAGGTTAACTAATATAAGAACAGAATGTCTGTGCACAGACACATTTCTTTTAATACACTGCCTTCCAAGGCCCTGTTCTAAGACATGGATGACAAATGGACCATCCAGTAGTTTTTAATTGCTAATAAATTCCGCATTACATGCTTAATCAAAGTTCCCCATGAGTTTTAGGACAATCCCAGCTGTTATTAAAACTGCAAACCACCAGGTTTATAAACTGAAATAAAAAATTTTACTGTTTACCATTCATCCTTTCAAAAGTCAGGGGGAAAGATAGAAAACCTGTCATAGGACCCAAATTTAAGCTTTCTGCCTTATGTTTTTCAGATATCATATTTCACAGGCTTTAAATAATTTGAGCTACTTGGAAACACTATTTACACATTAACTTTGCACACAAAAAGTGGTTGGTCCTTCACTTGATCCGATCACTGAAAACTGCACTGCCCTCAATTAACTAATTCAAGGTAAGATGTTGTCTGCTTTTTCTTCCCTGGCAGGATGAAAGGCTTTAGGGTAGGATTAGTGAAGCCCATTAATTTTAGAAATTAAACACCATCCTTTTGCTTGCCTGTATCTGCCTTTCCACCAAAGTCAAAAGAAAACATCTCTACTTTGTAACATAGCCAGCTGTGACCTGAGCAGAACCCATGGAAATTTGCCCTTGCAGAGTAAATACAAGTTCTCCCATATGAGAGAGGAATGGCTCTGAGTTTAACATTTCATTTTGTACCAACGCCACTTAAAATGCTCTTACACTTTCTGTCATTAATCCATACCCTCATCAGGACCTTGCACTATTGCAATTTATTTTTTCTGGCCACTTCTTCTGGGACCCCCACCTCTGTGCCCCTTCCTAGGAACCCCACTGAAGCTGAGATATACCATGAGCAAGTGTGGGCCAAGAAGGTCCCAGGCTGCTCCTGGCTTGCTCCCTGCCCTTCCTGCACACCCCCTCCTGTTTGTCTGCTGGTCATTGGGACCTGCTGCTGACAGCAGCCCTGCCCTACCATTTGCTGCATCAAGTCTGTATAACCTTATACTGTTTTTTTCCTCAGTTTCAGAATTTTTCTCCCCTTTGATACTTTATCAAAGGTAAAGCAGTGACCTGTAATGCATGCTTACAAGATCAGATAGGAAATATCTTCTATTCTTGCCAATCTCACCACTTGTTCTAGGCAATAAATTGTCTTTCGGAGTCATTTGGGGTTTTTTCATGAAATGAACAATTACAAGAAAAGGTCACTGAACTAAGGTGGTGGTAACATAAAACTCAGACTGTGAACTGCATTTTGAATGGTCAGCTTTTCTGACTCCTCCATTAGCTGTTGTCTTCATATATCGTAGCAGAGGTAACAAGGGAAACTTCCACTTCTGGCAGAAGTGTAAGACGAGGTATTAAAAGTCATGAGATAATCTGTTGGGATAATCCTGTACAAAGAGAAGATGGCCATACAGAGTAGATCCACTTTTTGAGCTTAATTCTCTCAATAAGTAATTACGTAGCAAAGCACAATATAGTTGATTTGGATTAATTTGTAAGGGTGATTAAGCTGGAGTTCACAACACCACAGGAGACAGGGGGTAATAACATTAAGTCATTTGTGCCAGTTGGGAGGAACAAACAGATGAAGTGAAGGCCTAAAATGGCTGCACAGCAGTGAAAATGTCATGTGCTGGTGACAAAGCCCTTTCAAAGAAGAAGAAGGCTATTTCACACCCTGCCTCTGACCTGCAGCAGAGGGACTTAGCAACAAGGAGAGCACTCAGCCAAGCAAGCTTTATGAAACAGAGCATTGTGAAATAAAGATTGTATGGTAAGAAGCAACATTTAAGGAGGAAATGAAACATTTTGGTTTATACAGGTACACAGATATACAGATATACTCATATTTCTTACAATAAACTGAAAACCCAGATTTGAAGTTCCACACGTCAGTGATTTTGACTATTATATATATTTTGACTCTTTTTTCATATATAAAAGGAAAAAAAAAAAACAACTGCTTAAATAGATACAGACAATTAGAATATTCTAACACTTCTACAGCCTCTTCCTCCTGCAGCTCTCTCACTTTGGGCTACATACTCAGTTCAATATGTAACTGCACTATACAAGTAAGCTGTATGACTGGATCTAAGTAAAGCATTCAACTTTAGGTCAGTTAAGGCTCAATCACACAAATACTAATAATGTAGTCCATAGGCTTCTTGGGCATACATAAATGTGTTTTTATGATGAGGCCTGGAAAGATTTATCAAGACCATCAGTGAAAATGTATTTCTCATGTTTCCAATAAAGCCTAAGTTAAAACAAACATTTAAAAACACTGGTTTGAATTTTAGCTATGCTAATAAAACCAGAGGAAACTTTCCAATGGCTACTCAGTTGAAGATGACTCTGCATCTTTACCTTAACTGAACAGCAATGTCTGGAGATAAGGATTCATATTATGATTAATGTTCAGCTATAACACACAAGAAACAAATTATTTCTTCAGCTTTTCTGGAGAAATTGATTGATTTGCTTTAGGAAAGGAATTATGCCATGCCTGTATTTACCAATCAGTAGAAATGTTTACCCCACAGGACCAATGTAATGTTAAGCTGATTTATTTTTATTTATGTTTTCAGAATCCCAAGTGTGCTATGTAAATTCAAATAATTTAGATATAGGAACCTCTGGCAATTAAAATATTGATGAAGGTATAAGCAACTTATTCATGTTGTATAAAGTTATTATGCAGAATTATCTCATTAGGAACAGAATAACCTAAAACTTGTATTATCTATATAAATTGTAGATAAATGTAAAAATTAACACAGTAGTATCCTATACATTTCAAGGACAAAAATTTCAACTAGGAAAAAAATAGTAAAAAGTGGAGTTTTGAAGATACTGCCACGACTGCCAGTGCCTACACTACATGGAGAGGAATGTTCTGCTATCTCACAGTTAACAGTAGACATACAGAGTCTATTTTGTTTTTTTAATTTGCTATTTCACATAAATAGCCCTACATATAAGTTCTAGGTACTGTAAGCATCCATATTTAATGCATACTGTAAGTATGCATTAAATATGGAAAAATCACATAAAATCAAAATCTAAACACAGGAATGGAGAAACAGGCTAAAAACAAAACAGCATACTCCCTGTCAATTTAATATTAAAATAAAATTAAAAAAAAAAAGAAGATAATTATCTCCACAAAGCTTATATATAGCCTTAAAAATTACTTATACTAAATAGAATGATCTAGAATTGGCATAGTGAGTACAGTAAAAATAAATATTGTCCTGAAGTTGATATCTCAAACCAGAAGTATGCAGGGCTAAGTACTTAAGATTATGAAATACAGATATTTAGGCCAGGTTTCTCAAAAGCTTAGACCAGGGAACTGGCAATATGAGATGCTAAAAGCCTTTTTGGCTCTTTAATGATTCAAGACACTCCTACCAATTCACAAAGCCATAGAACATGACCACTCAACTCTTGAACAGAAGAGAATAGTTGTCACCATTTTCCTAAATGACACAATCGTGTCTCATGTATTTTCAGATTCATTAGTACATATATTTATAAAATGAACACCTACCTTACACAGACATTTTTGGGTAATGTTTTACTAGTTTCATATGAATGGTTTGTTACAATCATTGTAAAAATTTTATATCTCAATTCCACCCTACCCTATAAAAGGAAGTTTAATCTGCTGAGTATTTTGATAAATTTACCTTCCAAAGAAAACAATCTATTAATTGGCAATAACCACTGAGATCTGTGATGAAGTCATGGCTGCTTTATCTCTAACAAGGTAATTGCATCTTTATGTAGCAAATTTTTCAGCTCCTCAGTGTTTTGTCACTGATTTAGATCCATTAGGAATTCCAACATCTTTTTCCAGTATAGCATAAACCTGTATATTGTGTGTTTTCTGAAGGCAGGGTGGACACTTAGTTGAATGTATAGAGGTGGATTTTATAAAGCTTATAATGAACCATAGAGAAGCATCAACCTTGTGAGGCTGTTATCTTTAAGGTGCAACTGACACAAGCAGCATATTCCAAAACATGCCTGTATGTCATTCTTTCATGCGTCCATCTCCCAGCTGAGCCAACGGGTGTGAGATCGCACACATGCCATAGACTCATCTAACTTCTTTTCCACTAAACACAGCTATTCTTGCTAAGCAACACACTGAGGGAAACAGGAATTTTCAAAACCTTTATTTCAGTCATTTAATACAGCTTTTGAAACAGGTCCAGTCCCACGGGGCTCCATCTGCAAAAGATTTTTTAAGAACATATGACTAACTGTACAAAGTGAGACAAGGATAAATTCATTCAGAGGCATCCAAAAAAACCATATATCACTGATTAAGTAAAATGGCTTAAAGAATATCCATGTGTCCTTTTGAGCACCAGTACAGAGCTCACACTATAACGTTGTGGACTGAGGACACACTGTGTTGGAGGCATTCATGGTAACCTCTAAGGAAATCAACTCACCTTTCCCTGTTTTTCTTTTACTAATCCTGAGAGGGCAGCCCAGGAGCTCAATGGTAGAAGGTACAGGGAAGAAATTCTGAATAGTTCTGCAAGGGATCTTCCTGGTGGAGTCAGACAATTCCCAAATGCCATGGGAAACACAAGAGGAGGAAACACATTAATCCATGACCTCTACCAAAATATAAAATGGAGTCAGAAGCAAGATACACCCCAATATTAATTGATTTCATCCCAATATTAATTAAAACACACATGAAAAACAATCCCACTTTTGTCTGCTAGACAAAGTTTATGTTTATACTGCAGGTACCTTAACAACATGAGCTCTTTGTATGCTCCTGGTTCATCAGTATGGTTCCATACTTTGGTTCATGGCCATTGGATATGACTGTTCTCATCAGACAAAGAGAAAAATATATGAATATATATATATGTATATATATATTGTGTGTGTGTGCATGTATATGAAGAAAACAGCATGTACAATTTCCTATCACATCTGGGGATAGCTTAAGGCATATTCATGATGAGAAGAGTTGGAATACACAGACAGAATAGGTTTGAAGGGACACTGAAAATGACAATCTGACCAAAGCAGCTGATGAGACGAAGCTTCTATATGGGAAATATTCAGTTGTACCACACCAAGATCCAAGCAACAGCTGCAGTATTTCATAGAAACACTGTGAGCTCCAAGAAGCAGTAGCTTAGGGAAACTCTAGAGATGCATATGGAATTCATCCAGTATTAAAATGTTTCATGGCATGCCACACTTACATGGGTGAAATGGAAACTTACATCAGTTACAGATTCCTACCTTTGGCTGTATATTTTTATACCCTTTCATCAGTTCCCAGTGAAACACAAATGTTGACTATTTACACAGTTGTCCAGGATCTTTTACTGATAGTGCAATACCATTCTGTAATTTTTGTAACTGTCAATGTCTTATTCTTTACACACATTTTGCAAAATTTTTTGATTGCTATCTTTTGACTGTGTTTAATAAACATAACAAACATTTCACAGCTTTCAATGCCTACCTACAGCACTATCTCCTCCCTGCCCCAATAATTAATGTAGATGCTGTTTTTTTAATTGCTTTTTTCAAGTATTCAAAATCAGTCACTGTTAGAGATGAAATACAAAGCAGGATGTTTTGATGAAACATATGGCAGACAAAACCTCAAGCAGACTGATAGGGATTATTGGCAGTTGTTCTTTTTCACTCCCCATTCTGCGGGGAATAAGATGCTGCTAGAAACCATCTGGGAAATCCATCTAGCAAATCCCTTGTTGTTGTAGGGATCTAGGACATCAACCAAGATTCCAGTTCCTCACTGTTTTCCACGGCATATTACAGCTGCCCCACTGCTGTTTTCTATAAGGCTGAAAGTTATTAATCAGAACTCTGTGGACATTGTGAATTGAACTCTTGCATATCCTCTTGGAGCAAATGTCTATCATCTAGGTTCCCCTTTACAGAGGACTAGACTCAATTATTAAAGTTAATTCCTCACAGTCCTATATTCTGATAAGTAATACTATTATCAGTATCTATTATTTTGTTCATAAAAACCAAAATTTAAGATAGGTCTTCCATGAGTTTCCAGAAGCAGATGGAGGAGAATGACCAGAAAAGCTGAAGCAGCAAAAGGCAAGCAACAAAAGGAAAGATGAAAGAGAAGAAAATAGTTAGTTTTAAAGTTGAATTCTACTTTTCTTTCCCTCTTTCCTCTACTAAAAAATTGACCTAATCACTCCTCTCACATCACCCAACAAATCCAGCTGCTTGAATAAGTATCCAAAACAAGCATTCAGCGTTCTAATGTAATTAATTATTCCCAGCAATTGCTATGAAGAGCACAAAAAAGCACAGCTTAAAAGTGTATCAAGAATTCAGCAAGACATTTGACTACTGACATTAATTCAACAAGAAAAAAAGATTAGCAAATGAGATATCTGTAAGACAACTAATAAAAATTTTATTTATTTTAAAATCTCATCAATATATTGTTATAAATGTCATTAAAGGAGAAAAACCTTTGGCTTCTTTCCTCTCTTTCTTCAGGACTTGTCTTGGCATGTAGAAAATAATTCAATACCAGAAAGAAAAAATTAGGAGTAACATTCATGATTGTCAACTCTTGAATAACAATATAGTTTTGAAGGAATTGAGTGTGTAGAAAGTAGCCAAATAGGAAGCTATTCATATTCATCACAGATTAGTTTTGAGGATCAGCTCTTCAACCTCAGCATCTGAAAAATTAAAAAATGACAGTTCATTAAGTGTAAATCATATTAAGACTAAACACAATCACAAAAGGTAGCAATTATTGCAGCCCTATTATATCTCGCTCAATTTACCATCAAATAGTGTTTAATCTTCCAAGAGCAAGATTTGCTCTCTATCTTTTTCTAGGTGACAGAGAAGCTGCATATGTGATAACAGAAGAAGAAAAAGGAGCAGCAAATAATTTAATGTGGTAAGGCTTCAACACAAATTCAATTTCCTTCCTAATGGGGGAAAATACCCCAACAAACCACAACAAAAAAATACCCAAAGAAATAAGAGTTAGGGATTTTAAGAAGGCCAAGCCTTGAAGGTGTTTATCAGGAACAAATCTAGGCTGAAGTGAACAAGAATTTGCCTTAAAGGTACAGACATGTGCTCCCCGACTGATAAGATATAAAATGTTCTTGGCTGTAAACAGGGAGGAAAGTCATAATTTCAGACCTTACCTCTTTGATTGCAGAGGCATGTGATAGCTTTCTCTCTTGTCTGAATTGATGTCCTGCCTCTAAAAGCAAGTTGGAGAAAGTCCTGCATCTCCTTCTTGTACAAGTGCTTGTTGTTCGATGTGAGTGACGAAAGACTCCAAAGGTAAAAGTGTATGAGGATAGACAGCTGGATCTGTGAGTAACACACATTCCATCTGGAATCAAGAGCACTACTTTCTGGTACTTTGACCCATGTGCTCTTCCTTCTTGAAAAAAAAATCTCTGAGAAAATTTATAAAAGGTCACATCAAAACTTAGTCTCTTCCATGCCAGCTTTCCATTAGCTGAGATTTCATACACATATGGAGCCAGATTGTGTCCTCCATTACAGGTATGTAAATCTGGAGTAGCATCATCAGCTTCCATTTAATTAACCTGGAGTTACATCATAGGAATGAATGCCCTGCAGGAAATCAATTTCACTTTCAAGAGCTTTGACTGAACATGAAAACCTGCTGCTAAATGTACTTCCAATGGGAAGAACTAGACACAGAACTGATGGTATCATAGACAAAGGACTTTGATGAATGTGACTGTTAGAGAACACTACAAAATCCATATTTCCTGACAAACACAACACTGATTTTCTTTTCATGCAGCTGCAGCGGCATGAAAAACATGCTCTTCAAAACAGTGATGTATTTAGCCATTTATTATGGGTAACCCCCAAAATCAGAAGATTCAAGTCTGGAAAAAACAGTGCACTATAAAACCATAGTTGCTACGCTTGAACAGTGATTAAATAGTGATTATAAAACCACTAAACTAACATCAAATTTTTTTTTGGTACTAAAGAGCTTCTCAGTGGCCTCTAACAACTTCTTTACAACAGAGCAGCAAAAAAATATTTTTTTTTCTTCATAGAACAAACATGCTTTATCCAAACAACAAATAAATTGACTTTTAGAGTCAGAAAACTGTGATTTTTCTCAGTTTGCTTATTTTCTAAAAGTAGGGAATAGTAAAACCAAGGTGTCAGATAAAATGGTAAAGTAAAACATAAAGAACTCAGACTTTTTGAGAGCAACTTCTAAAACTCCTATGCATGAAGCAGAAATTCATTGGGAAAGAGAAAAAAACAGGCTAATTTGTAGGTGAGTGGGCAGCAAAAAAATCCAAAGTCACAAAACTGCTTGCAGACACCTTTTGTTCACCTTTCATTGAAGTTTTCCATGCGCAGGAGAACAGGTTTATGTTCTATTGTAGTGCATCAATCTCCCAAGAAGAGAAAAGCACTGACATGCCAGTTACCTTTGCACAAACTTGAGCATAGCAGAAAAAGAAGATACATACTTCAACAGAGCACTTGAGCCTACCTTCACACACCAAAGATGTGAGATGCAAGACTCAAGCTTGTATCATCTGCACGTGATGGTGGCAGGGGTGGATTCTGCCTTCAGTTCACTTCTTTTATCATCTTTACTTTTAAATCTCAGTAACCATTTCCATGGATTTAGTGGAAAGCAGCAATGATGGAACCCATTGGGTAAGTTGGATGGCAAAGCTTCGTAAAGCAAAGCTGGAACATGTCACCATCCTCTCCTCAGTGCTGATTGGAATGGTGAAAGCAGACTGGACCCTAGTGGAGCTGCAGACTCATTCTGGGCTGATATCACATTGATACAGAGTGTTTATAATGCCGGCTTTCCCTTCTGCCCCACTCCTGTTGTTTGCTCAAAATCTAGTATGTCCCTGCTTGTAGTAATATGTCCTGCCAGGTTCTGACAAACCTTTCACCAGATTTTGCTTCACTCTTCATAAGTTATGACAGCAGCAAACAGTATTTCATGCTAAACCTCTTCCTAGTCCTAACAATTAAGCCATAAAATAAGGCTGTCAAACCCCTGGACTGCAGACTCTAAAGATATTTTCGTAAACAAAACAGCAGTCAGTAAAATATGGCATTGCTTGAACACTTTCTATCTGACCATGGAAATGGAATAAAATATGCCAGTTAGAACAAATAAACCAAAAAAAATCTAATTTCTTCTTATGCCATATTTAGGTAGTGAGATCCAACTTCAAGCAAGGGAGACAATGAAAAATTCTGAGTAGAGATTAGTTGGAATCAAAGGATCCTTTCTGACAGGCTAAACTATCAATCCAGATTAATTATCTTAACTTTGGCATTTAGCAAAATAAACTAGATGGGCAAAAGAGTATTTTCTTTGTACTAAAAAAGGCAACAGGTAGAGTTTAGTGGTATCCTCAAAAGAGGAGGAGACACTTCTATCTTACCCTTTCCACCTTCCCTCCTGCTTAGAGCTGAGGTAACCATTGAGGAACACAGCACAATGCTCCCATTCAGCTGAAATCTGTCTATTCCACTCTAATATAAATAATCAATGATGATGGAGGGAAAAAAATTTGAAATATTAAGTAAAAAAAGAAAGAAATACACCCAAAAACAACATCTCCAACACTGTTCTTAACAGCATGCAAAAGCATGCAAAGTCTTCAACTCCTGCTTCAAGTAGATGCACACCTGTTTAACCTTTTATTAACAATTTTTTAAAATTAATTACTTCATAAGTTTCTTGATAGGCCTCTATCACTCTCCATTAAAAGTGCACTGCAATTCCTAAGGATTACACTTGCTTTAGAAAAAGCCATATGCTCCCTTATTTTCTGACCATGGCCATTTCCCTAAGGAAATCTGCAGACAGAGGCACAGGGAGCTAGACAGGCAGTGACTCCACTTGCCTCAGAAACTCAATATCAGATCTGATGATCACTGGATTATAGGAATGACCTTCCACCTTTTGCTAAGATGCAATCACATCTTTTAAAAGGAGAGTGAGGACGAAGTACATCAAGACTCTACCTTGCTCCTCGTAGATGGTGTCTGTCTGTAGCTAAATTCATGTGCACTTTTGGAAACCAGATGGATTCACCACAGATGACAACAGACTTACCAGTATAATTGCATAACCAGGTCAGGCTGCTTGGACACTCGTGTCTGGTTTCCCTGGGTAATGATGAGCTCCATCAAAACACATTTTACAAGATTCTGCAGCTGGACTAACCACTGAAGATGACTAAATTTTAACTGGAGTATTGTGCAGGAGTTTCAAACTTCACCCAGGACCTCATACATGCTCTGGCTTTCAGATACTATACAAGGTTACAGCCTTTAAATACCTTCTTGGAGTGGGCCCTGTGTTAAAAGCAGACCATGCCAGGCTAACCTATCATAGTGTAGGTACATCCAGTACAACAGTGCTTGAAGTTGCAATTGCTGGAAGCAAACAGCCCCTGGCAATGGCCCATGACAATAACTCTGTTCTTTACATCAAGCTGTAGAAAAAAGGTTGAAGAACACTTCAGAAGCCCAGCATTAAAGGAGAGACAGAAAGATTATAGTTTTAGAGATTACATGAAAATTCTGCCTCATGGTGAACAACTGTAGCTATAATGACATGCACATTAGAATGCAGTATTATAATTAAAGGTCATGGTATGCAGCAATCATTATTGACTGTTCTCTCCTTTAAAACTATGCTTTTCTCTCCAGACTTAAAGGAAAAATTTCTTATCTTGTGCAATTTTTCAAGAATCCAATTAGACACCTGAGCTAAACATAATGCATATTAACTTAGCCTCCCATACATCCAGAGACTCAAGGTGTCCAACTTTCTACCAGAAATTTCATCTGGTAGAAAGAAAGAAAACAAACTGGTTGCAACTAGTAGGTATGTGGACAAAATGGGCAGATGTATTATCCTTGTTACCTCATTTTAATACCTCTCCAGGCATTTATGATCAGTAGCATATATTTCTATCTGGAAAATTCCACAAATTTTTTGCATATTAGGAGTGCCCCTTGCAACACAGACATAACAAACCATTTATTAATCCAGGTAAAATAATGGCATAATGTAAGTATGAGTAAGTATGTATAATGTAAGTATGAGTTCAAAAGCCTGTTTTCCCATACTATATTAAAATAACATTGTTATCCAAATGCAAAACAGACAAAATCATTTAAAAGGAGTAGGCTTGCTGTATTTAATGAAATAAATACTTAGGAGAGATAAAGGTATATAATAACTTTTTAAAATAAAAGATATGGTACAGGAAGTAGCAACAACAAAAGAGTCAGCAATAAAAAACCTCAGTGCTACAGAGACTTCACCAGAGTCATAAAAAGCCCATCAGGCTCAAACATAAGTAATGATCTAAAATAATTTATATGTACATGTAACTATTTGAATGCATACAACCACATTTGCAGAGCATTTGCTGATGAATATTTTCTAAATATTTTCTAGTACAAAGACCCAGACCAGCTAAGTATTTTTGCACTTATGCAAAATTTCACAAACTTCAGTTTAGTGCTAAATGGTTGTAGAAATTCCTGCTGCTGTGAACAACTAGGTCTTACTGGAGGATCTGTTTCCTAATATATACTTAATAAAAGTATATATATATCTAAAGTGTGTGAATATATATATATA